TGAGCCATTCTTAGAACTTCTGAGTTATCTTCCTAATATGAATTACTTGTACATTCTTTTGAACTAATCCATACAATGATATTTCAGGCTTCTCTCTTTTTTTCTCCAAAATACCAGAAATGTGCCATGCTGAAGTTTGTTATTACTGTTTCATCTTCTGTCTTCCTACAGGTTATGTTTATATCATTCTTTACTTTCCTGTAAGACAATTTTATTATGTCACGTAGTATTCTTATTTGACCTTCCCTGTGGTTGGAGAACTAGCACCTTGCTCTTTTCTCCAGGACCTTCTGTCTAGAGCCACTGCATGCTGCTAGAAAAAGAAGGTTATTTGCTCTCCTTTGCATTTCTTCTGGGACTTTGCCTTTTCCCTTTGGCCAAGCAGAGTTTGCCAAGGATAATGTAACACTAAGATCAAGGCTGGTTTTGCCCAAACCCGTTCCCTGACTTACCTTTAAAATTAACCAAAACCACAAATCCCTATAACCATTGTTCATCATGAACAATCCTAAAGAAGAAAATGGGTGATTTAATCACATGGCTACTTAGACAAATGGTTTCCAAGTATCTTTCATAATGAACCTTATGGGTAAAGACTTTTAGTGCCTCCTCCAGCCAAGCATTTTATTTATAAATCCTGTACACATTCCTTACACTGGATACCTTATCAAATATACCCTAAAAAATAGACACACACACAAAAGACAAAGTGAGCCTTCACCTGCTGCCTGCTGCGTACCACCAATGGTCATGGCTCTTTGATGCCTTGGTAAATGCTGGCTCTTCACCTGCATCGCATAGGCCCTCGCTGGTCTCCAAATGTCCATGTCTCCCCAGGCATTTATCTGAATCTCCAAGGAGCCACAGGCCAAGTTTTGCGTCCTCACAAAGCCCTCCCTGTACATTAAAGCTTGCTAAGGATGAACAAGTATGGGGTCAGGCAAACGCAGGAGGGCCCAGGTAACATCTCCAGGAGCTCAGTAAAAGTGAGTCAAAGAGGGGGCCCTTGTGTTTTCTCTCCTCAGGGCTGAGAATCAGTGGTGGGCCCTGGATAAGAGGAAACAACAGCAAAACTCCCCAACCAAAAAACCAAAAACAAATATTATCCTCCAATGGAAGGTGCCCATCCCCAAGCTTCAAGATAAACGAGCCAGCACCCGTGCCATGCGCCGCCATCTTCCTTCACAAAGAATCTTTTGCAGATTCTTCATTCTTGGCCTTGGTGTGCACACCCAAGTGAAAACTCAGTTTCCCTCTCGGCTCCGTTACTTCTCTCGGGTTTCTCAGTGGGCACATTCTGGGCACACTTATTAGCTCCTTGGGCTCACAGGGATCACCAAGGTCCTCCCACTACGTTCAGGAATGCGGTAAGGGGAAGGATGGAATTCCTCATAAACCTCGATGTTTTTCCTCACCCGAAATAGAAACTATTAATGAAAATAGACTCTGAGTGGAGCCAGAGGAGGCAAATGCAGGTTAAAGAGCTTTATTTGTGAGTTTTATGGTTAAATGGAAGAAATGCAAAACATGGAAAAGTGAATTGATTGAGCTTTTCATTTCTTGTTTAGCTTCTGGTTTCAGTTTTACTGTTTGGAGGGTGACTTTTCAGGAGTTCTACTAATCAGCCTTTGCTGTGGGCACCACCACACCCCCAGAACACTCACATTCCACCAGCAAACAGGAATCAAGAATGCCCTGTCTCCACTGGGTGCCAGTGGCTCACATATGTAGTTCTAACTACTCAAAAGGCTCAGATCCGAGGATCCTGGTTCAAAGCTAACCTGAGCAACAAAGTCCATGAGAGTTGTTTTTTTTTTTTTTCTCCAACTAAGTGCCAAGAATCTAGAAATGGAGGTGTGGTTCAAGTGCCAGCATGCCGGACTTGAGCAAAACATCTTAGGGACAGAGCCTAGGCCTTGAGTTCAAGCCCCAGCATTGGCACAAAAAAGAAAGTCCTATCTCCTAAATACTTTTTAAATACTTTGGACCACTTTTTATTACAAGTCACCATGTCCAAGGCACAGTGGACTCTGGTAGGAATCCAACACAGAGAACAGACACCCAACAAAAAACTGTCAGATGAGCATACGGGTGTAAAGCTATCTGGTACAGGGACAGGTCCTAGGAAGCCCAGTGCTCTGCCCCTCTGCCAGGCTGTGGGATCATGTGCCTCGAAGGATCCAGGCTATGCAACGAGACGTCTTCAAAATGCAATAGCTAGGTGCCCTTGACTCAGACCAGCAATCCTAGCTACTCAAGAACTAAGATCTGAGGATCGTGGTTTGAAGGCAGCCTAGGCAAAAATAAATAAATAAATAAATAAGGACATCTGTGAGACTCTTAATTCTAATTAATTACCAAAAAGCCATAAGCAGATCTGTGGCTCAAGAGTGCTCATCTTGGGCAAAGAAGTTCAAGGACAGAGCCAAGGCCCTGAATTCAACCTCCAAGACTGGCACAAAAGGGGGGAAAAGAAGCCAATCTGCCACACTTCCCCCAGATCCCAAGGAGACTTTCTTTTGCTGATCCTGGGCCTCTCTCTTGGTCCCAGCCTCTAGCTATTGTGTGACTTTTTGTGATTTTTTCCCCCCACATGGCATCAATTCCAGCCTTTCTGTAAAGTAGCAACCGTCACTTTAGCCAGCCTCTATTTCTAATCTAAAAATGGAAATACTCAAATTCACTAAATTTGATTCAGATGGATCAGTTTAAATGCAGGTAACTGAATTACACATTTTTGCTTGGGGGACGGACATGTGGTGATCGGGTCTGTCATTTCTATGTGCAAAAACAGTTGGATAATCTTCAGATACTTCATTCACCATTCTCTCCCCACCCCACCCCCACTCCCACTTTCATACAATGAAATAAAAATGATAAATTCCAGTGAGCCAGTACTGTTGTCTCAGATAGACAGAAAGGTGCGAGATTTAGAGCTTTGTGTCATGATTTTAAAGACAATGATCTCCATTACCTCCTCCTCTTCCCTTTTTCTTCCTCCTCCTTCTCCAGATACCCTTCAAAGCTTGTTGTCAAGGTGAGCAACCAGAGCAGGACAGAAAGGGGAGGCCACTGATTGCTGCAGAGGGAGGGAACTTGTGTGAGGGGCTCTGGAGGAGTGGGTGTCCTCTGCCCCTTCCCCCCACCCCAACCTCCCTTCCTTCTCTCCCTCACAAAGCATTATTCAGCAGGACTGTGGCCTCTGGTGTGTGACGCACACTATTGTCCTCAGTGTTCCAGACCTTTTTAGAATAAATACAGCTCGGTCTTTTCAGGTTGGGAGTTGTGGTAATTTGGCATAGCAAACAACATAACTGGTTTCTTACATAACTCCACAGTTGGCAGTAAGACACGGTGCATTGAAATGAAGCAACTCGTACCCATCCAAGAAGTCTTCGCATTTCCTTTCTTGAAGGGGCTAAATGCCTCCTTTGTTGTTGTTTTCCCCTGTTGCATATATTCTTTTTAATTATTGGCTGACATTAATGATGCTTTGAAATAAAAATTTAATGTGAACGCAAGGGTCCCCTTAAACTTTTGGAAGTGCAGAAGAGCGGTTCCTGCCAGTCCCTAACCTAGAGAGTACTTAAATAACTAGAAGACTTATAGGTGATAATGAAGTTAGAGATGTGTTGAGACTGAGGACAAAGAATGCAAGGCTGAAGCTGGCAAGTTGTTTAGAAGTTAAGTGATGTGATGCTCAGAGGTCTGGAGTCAGTTTTGCAAAATGATCCAGATGAGGTGTCTTACCCAGAGAAGCCAGCAGAACAAGCTTGTCAATTATGCTGTACATCCTTTCCATTTTTTTCTTCATTTCCTACTTTAAAAAAAAAATTTAAAAGCCAGGTTCTGGTGGCTCATGCATGTAATCCCAATGACTCAGGAGGCTGAGGATAATGGTTTGAAGCTAGCTCAGGCATGAAAGTCCATGAGACTCTTATCTCCAAGTAACCACCAAAAAAGCCAGGAGTGGAACTGTGTCTCAAGTAGTAGCATGCTAGCCTTGAGCACAGAAGCTCAGAGACAATGTCCAGGCCCTGAGTTCATGCCTCAGAACTGGTACCAAAAAAAGAAGAGAGAAGAGAATAATCAGCTCATGAGTCTTTTAAAGCAGGATCCCTTTCTCAGTTTCATAGGCCAAAATCTCCTCAGAAATGTTTTTGTTTTTATGGTGCTAGGGATCAAACCCAGAGCCTGGTATACGCTAGACAAGTGTTTTGCCACTGAGATACTCCTCAGCCCTCTAAATGATTTTATGTCTTTGCTTGCCATTCGAAACTAATCCAAGACTCACATATTCCTAGTTCTCAAATTTCAGTGATAAAGTAGGGATTCTTTAGCCTCTCTTGCCGTAGTCCTACTATAGAATCCAAGTGGAAATTGGCACATCCATTCAAAAAGTTCCATTGGAAAAAACAAAACCAACAAAACAAAACATCACATTTCAAAATAAATCCCACCCTTTTTTTTTCTTTAAAACACAGTTCACTGGCCAATTCAGATTTCAAAATGTTTTCCTTAATGCCCCGATGTGAAACACCGATTGAAGTTTTCAGGAAATTGCAGGGATAAGCAGCAACTCACCAACAAGACTTAAGTTTCCAGGTCTCCCAAACCCTTGAAACTTCCCTGGAGACTAATTACTGTTTACTGCTTGGGACCTTGGGCCTTTTTCTTCCGTAACATTTTCCATCTTAAGCAGGCCCGGCCCATTCAGCGTTCAGCAGAGAGGAGTTAGCTGCGCGTTGTCTTGAGTACTGAATGGAATTACTACCAGTGGAAACTATGCTGCAAGAGGGGCGGACGCAGCAGCTGCCAGGCAAACCTCAGCTGCCTTTTCCACCCTCTCGCCAGAGGTAATTAGCATAGGGAAAATGACTAAGGTGTTGACGTCACCTCTTTCCAGTAGAAGCTTACACTTTGTCCCTGTCTGCCTACCAGCATACAGGACTTGACTCAGGAATTTGCTGTCCAAACAGGATGCTTGGAGAGCTGCGATCCTCACTCCCCCGCCCCCAGGGGGCTGGCGCTGGGTGCTTTATAAGCCTGGGCTGGGAGCAAGAACCGAAGGAAAGGAGCACCTTGGGGTTTGGCTGCCTGGGTCTCTAGCGATTTCCTAGTAAGAAAGCAAGATGCATTTTAGGAACTTTAACTACAGTTTTAGCTCCCTGATCGCCTGTGTAGCTAGCAGTGAGATCTTCAACGAAAGTGAAAGCAGGGTAAGACGTGGAAATGGAAGTTTTGAAAGTTTTGAAAGCCTGGTGCTAATCCTCTGGGGTAGATGGCTCTCTAGTGGGGTTGGTAGAGGTTGGGTGGTAGGGAAAATGTGTGTGAAGTAAATCCGAAGTGTTCTGAGCTGCTGAAAATCAGAAGCTGTGGTCTGTAGAATTAACTCTTGAAGATCTCAGTATCCAGAGATGTCCAGTTCCCGCATCACCTTCCCAGCCAGGCAGTATGTGTGCAGCGTGTGTTTTTCATTCTGTGTGTGTGGTATGTGAACTCTTCTACCGGAGACCTGTTCTGACAGCAGATGGAGCTGGGGCAAACTCTACAGCCAGAGTTTGGAGTTATTTCATTTCCTCCTAGAGAATAAATATCGCAGATTTGTTGTGCATTTTCTAGTAATTACAAGGGAACTCCTCGAGCTTTCAGATTTCTCTGGCTAGCAAATAATAAAACTAGATAATTCAAGCATGGGATAAATATGCCTCCTGGGTAGCAGCTCTCATTGTAGTAATATAATTAGCAGTTTTAATCACTATATTTTTCTTCTTCATTTGGTTAAAATGTACAATTTCTCATCAGCAGGTACCTAGCTGACTGGTTGATGTTTCATACAAGAGTGAATAGATAGTATCATATAGGCACAATATTGTATATATGTTTTGTGTGGGAATGTTATTTGTGTTATATGCTTTATACCCAAAGCCATCTTGTGAAGGATTGTTACTTTTAATCAGAGTTACCTTTTGTTAACTTTGTGTACAATTACTGGAAGAAAACTGGGACACATTTTTTTACCTTAATTACAGGGCTCATTCTATACATAAAAATACAGCAGAGTCAGCATAATTCATATTAACCTTATGTGCTTAAAAGCATTACTTTCCTGTGTATGTGTAGGCCTGTACCAGGATTTAAACTCAGGACCTCTCATGGCTGGCACTTTACCACTTGAGCCACACCTCTAGTCTGTTTTTTTGTTTTTTTGGTGTTTTGATTTTTGTTTTGTTTTTTGCTGGTGATGGACTTTGCTGTCTGTACCTTTTTTTCTTCCAGGTCTCAGCCTCTTAAGTAGCTAAAATTATAGGCAGGAGCTACCATGCCAGGCCAAAATGATTTCCTTTTAATTAAGTGTAGAAATACTATGTACAAATAGTAATAACTAGATATCAACTATTAGAACAAGTAAGATTTTTTTAAATTATGCTAGTGATCTGGATTTAGCACTAATGTCCATTTTCTGTTGCTCTGGTCCTGAGCCCTGACTTACATTCTAAAAATACTCATCAAAGTCCTCTCTCCCAAATTCTGAATCATAACTCCAGACCTCTACTGTTAGTCATAATGCTTATTGATGAGGTCATGTGAAATTCTGGATTTACCAAGACACGCTTATACCACAAACTTGCCCGTGCTCCAGATAGGTGGGACAAGTACTGGGCAGCAGAGAAAATGCATCAGTGTGCGTGCTCACACACATAGCTCCGCAGAACCCCACCTGCAAGTCATAGGAATGTTCCAAAGCTAAGGAAAGAGGAGCTGAGGAGGACAGAGGGAACATTCCACTCTCCTAACCCACCCTCTGGTGAGAGGATACTACTTTTCCACCTACAGCCTCTCCCTCCCAAGTTGAATCCCCGGAGGCTGATGGGCTGTCCTGAAGCTAAGCTGGCCATCTAGAACTTGGGATTTTCATTCTTTTCTCACCAGCCCTTCCAGCACCAACAGAGCCTGTTTAACCTGTCAGAGAGCCGGAGTACACCATGGGTTTCAGCGCACTGCCTTCAGTTTTAAACCAGTATCTTGCAGACAGTTAAACAGGAACAGACTCAGATAAAAATAATTAGTTGGGTTTTCCTTTTGTGCCAGTACTAAGGCTTGAACTCCTTGTACTCTGCTTTCCCTTAGCCTTTTTGCTCAAGGCTGGCACTCTCTATCACTTGAGCAACAGCTCTGCTTCCAGCTTTTTTTGCTGGCTAGTTGGAGATAAGACTCTTAGCACCTTTCCTGCCCAAGCTGGCTTTGAACCGCAGTCCTCACATATCATCCTTCTCAGTAGCTAGGATTACAGGCATGAGCCCTGAGCACCCGGCAATAATGGGAATTTTACACACTTGTTTTCTTTAAAGAAATGCAAGACTTTTCTTAAGTTGATTTTTTCATTCTTCAATATTTTTTAAAAGTTTTTTTTATTTTTATTTTTCAAATTAGCAGTAGGATTTGTAAGCCCTAAAGAACTGTTTGGCATACCCAATATCCCTGAGCTGAGTGTCAAGATTGGGACTTCCCAAACTGGAGAAGGTGTAGGAACATCAGTCAATGGGTAATGAGTACTATGCATCGTAAAAACCATCTCCTTGGAGAGTGCTTAATCCTCTTCAAAAGGAATTTTTCACTGAGCACTCCTGGCTCACACCTGTAATCCTAGCCTCTCAGAGGGCTGAGATCTGAGGATCATGCTTCAAAGCCAAGCCTCTGGCAGTAAAGTCCATGAGACTTTTTCTTCAGTTAACCACCAGAAATGGAGCTATAGTACCATGTGGTAGAGTGCTAGCCTTGAGCAAAAGAGCTCAGGGACAGCAAGTGCCCAGGCCCTGAGTTCAAGCCCCATGACCAACCAAGAAAAACAAAAAAAGGAGGGGGGCATTTTTCTCTTTTCATATGAAATATTTAGAAAGCTGGGGTATATCTCAGTTGTGAGGCACTTGCCTGGCTTTTGTAGGCCCTGGATTCCATTCTTAGCAAAACACACACACACACACACACACACACACACGCATACATGCATACACGCATGTGTGTACATTTAGGTGTTCATAATTCTGTTGATTTCATGAATTTACTAAATCATATCAGAATCAGTAAATCGTACCTTCTTCATCACCTGTCTGAGAGCAAGGACACTGTCTTGTGTATCTCAGTGATAGAACACATGTGCGAAGCCCTAAGTTCTAAAAGAAATAGAGTCGTATCGCTTCAGAAGTGAGAGCCTTTTCTCTTAAGAGTTGATAGCTGACTTCCTCAGTGAGGAATGTGGAATGCTCTGTCAAGGGGCCATGTGAACTTAAGGTTTAACGCCTTTTTATTTTTTTACCTTCCAGGCCAAATTTGAATCCCTCTTTAGGACCTATGACAAGGATATCACCTTCCAGTATTTTAGGAGCTTCAGGCGCGTCCGGATAAACTTCAGCAGCCCCTTATCCGCAGCAGACGCCAGGCTGCAGCTGCACAAGACTGAGTTCCTGGGGAAGGAAATGAAGTTGTATTTTGCTCAGGTGAGTGGTAAACGTTTTCACTAGACGTGTTCTTCCCTCCTTTCACATCTTACGGCAGTTTATACACTGATTGAAATACACACACACACACACACACACACACACACACACACACATACCCATACACACACACACACACACACTGAAAAAAACCTTATCTGAAAAAAGTCAAAATTCATACTCTGAATTCTCAATGTCTCAGTTAAGACAACATCAAGGCTACCAACTCAGGAGGCTGAGATATGAGGATCATGGTTTCAAAGCCAGCCTGGGTAGAAAAGTCTGTAAGTAGTTCCAGTTAATCACCAAAAAGCCAGAAATGAAGGTATAACTCAAGTGAAAGAGTAACATCCTTGAGCAAAAAAAAAAGCCAAGCACAAGCAGGTGGCCCTGAGTATAAGCCCCACTTACCAGCACCAAAAATAAAATAAAATAAAAATCAAGGTAAATTTGAAACCAAGCTCAGAAATGACCTTTGACGCTTGGGTTGTATGGTGATGAGAGGCGGCTCGACGCCCTCCCCCCTCCCCTCCCCCTCCTCCACCCCTGCCCCACCACGTACTGCTGTCATGGGGCTGCCCCAGCACCCTGACATCTGGGCAGCAGGAACTGCTCCAGGCTTAGGCTAAGGAGCACTCCGGACTAAACAGATCCGAGTGGGTCCAGCTTGTTTAGCAGAAGCGGTCACGTGCGTGCCAGTCAGCCCAGGGCTGCAAGATCTAGCCTGATAGGGGAAAAACAGCTCACCAACAGCAGACAGAGACTAAGGAACCTTCTTGTTCATTAAGGTCCAGCCAAGAGCACCCATGGGACAGAAGGAAGGGACTGCCGGTGGCTTTGCTGTTCATCTTGCCTGTCACCGTCCCACCCGCCTCCCTCCCAGGGACCCTAGCCTACCCATGACCCGTCTTCAAGGCAGCTCCCAAAGTTCTATTCGACTTTGTAACAGAGACTAGCAGATTATCAGGGGAGAGGAAAGGAGCTGCTAGAGTGCTGCTCGCCAGACCCCAGTGAGGCTCTCCCTGGCATCTGAGCATGCCCCCCCCTACTTCCCCCCCCCCACTCCACCCCACAGGGGAGGGAGGGGAGAAAAGAGGAACACTTCCACTGCAAGTACCTTTCTGCCCTAGGTGAGGTTTCGTGTAAATAATGACTTACACCTTCATCCTTCATGACCTGTTCTGATTATTTAAATGATTCATATTTATTGTGAAACTTTTTTCTTTTTTGGTGCCTCTCCTGGGGCTTGAACTCCGGGCCTGGGCACCATCTCTAAGCTTTTGTGCTCAAGGCTAGGGCTCCACCACTTGAGCCACAACTCCACTTCTGGCTTTTCTGATAATTGATTGGAGATAAGAGTCTCACCCAGACTGGCTTTGAACCACGATCCTGGGATCTTAGCCTCCTGAGTTGCTAAGATTACAGGTATGAGACACCAGCTCCTAGCTGATTGTAAAAATTTCGGGGGAGACATATAAACTATACATAAAATACAAAATGGTTAGCTTTTGATATAAAGTCTTCTGGCAGCCCTCTGGTTTCTAAGACCAAGCTAGGATTATAGGCTATGGCTCATGAGGATTCTTTTTTAAATATGTGGGAGGGTGAATTTTTTGGTCCTTGATGTTTGACTTTTGCCAGGAGCCCTGGAAGCAGGGAAGAAAACACAGGAGGAGCCCCAGATCCCACTGTGGAAAGCTGTGTCCAGTTAGAAGAGGGTCCTGGCCTTGGGCCCTCCCTTCCTCTGTGGCATAAGGAGCGGGGAGAAATGGATGCTGAGATCACTTCCGACCCTCAAGGGCAGGACTTCATTTTTTCCTATTCATACTAAAGCCATCTGTGTCACTCACTGCCAGAGAGTCCAGTCACCCCTTTACCTTCTTCAGACCCATTTTAATTCACCTGGGAATCAATGTCCTGCTGCCTGGCCATAGTTCTGTCCCAGCAATCCTGTCTTCCAGAAGCTTCCATGGGGTGCTGAAAACCCATTGCAGTCTCCTCTCAGGACAGTGATGAGTATTGATTTCTCTCCTTAGACTTTACACATAGGAAGCTCACACCTGGCTCCACCCAATCCAGACAAGCAGTTTCTCATCTCTCCTCCTGCCTCTCCGCCAGTTGGATGGAAACAAGTAGAAGATGCTACTCCCGTCATAAATTACGATCTTTTATATGCTATCTCCAAGCTGGGGCCAGGTAAGCAGCACCCTAGGCTGGGCAGAGGACAGGGTGGCATGGGAGACAGTCCCAGACCGGAGGCCTGCCTCTCAGAGCGTGGAGGGACCCCCATTACTCTGCACTCTCCAGAATCCAATGCAAGTGTGTCTTAGGATCTGAATTATTTCCATCCTCCCGCATCAAGTCACTCGTGTGTTCCTTGAGAAGCTATGCAAGAAAGAGTAGCTGTCCATGAGTCCTGTGCTCGGCCCTCCTGCTGGTGGTCCCTTAACCCGACCTCTAACCCACCAGGTGCTCCCTGTGTGTCGATGCCCAGACCCCAGGTTCTGTTCCTCCAAGTGGGATGAGTGAGTGGACTTTGGGAAAGAGAAAAGAGACCCTCATTTTAGACATTGCACTTGAGTGGCGTGACTCATCATTGATCCCATTCTCACCTAACAGCACCTCAGGCCCTAGTGTCCACAACGTGGGCCTCATACAGAACTGTAGGAGGTTACACAGTACCTGGTCCTTGTAGTACAGGACTTTTTGAAAATTGTTCATTGCATGTCAGTGGCTCCTGTCCTGTGTGCTAGGGTTTGGTGGCAGGGCTAAGAGGAAACAGATCTTGGAGTGAGGACGACTGAGCCTCCTCCTGCCCCACCACAGAGCCGGCTGAGTAAGCGCTGAGACCATTATTCCTTGACCCACAATCTGATGCTCCTCTGGGCCAAGGGTTTTATTTTCATGAACCATCAGCAGTTTCATGTTGAAAAGATTGCATTTCTGAGAACACAGACTACCCAGAAATTCCCAGGGTGCTGTAAACCAAGAGTCACGTTTCTCAGTGCTAATCGTGGCATGAAGGTCAAGGTGGAAGAGGGCTGGTTTGACCAAGTGTGTTGCCCTCCAAGACAGCGCTCAGTGACGCACGCGCCTTAGCAAGGCTGAGTGTTAGGGATGGAGCAGGTGGGGCTCCACCAGGGTCAGTACCAGCTGCTCTAGAGGCAGGCAGTACCAGGACAGATGCATCACGCCCCAGGACCATCCTCACCTTTACTGAAGGCGGGGAAGAAGCCTTTTTTACAAAAGAAGATGTAATAAAGTCAACTTGGGATCCGTTTATATAACACTGAACTTGAGTAATATTTTCTATTCCATCTGTGCTTTTTAAAGATATTGTGAACAGGGCTGGAGTTGCTGAACATCTGCCTAGCACACATGAGGCCCTGAGTGCAAACCCCCACTTTCACCAAAGATGTTGCAAATAGTGCCAACCTCTGAACTTTCTGAATTGTGGTTGAGCGTAGATACACAAGGGCTTCTAAAAGGCCTTTTCTGGTGACATGTGAGCCTCTCCTGCCTTAATGCGCTGAGCCAGCTGAGCCTCCTGCACATCTCTGGTGCAGTTACTTTAACGTTCCAGCCTAGAGGGTGGGGCAAGGCAGCGGTCTTCTGCCTTCCACATTTAGACAAGTGCGTGTGGAGCAGGAGGCTGAAGGCTCTTCCTAGCTGCTCTTTCTACTGGAACTTAGCCACTGCAAGACCTCCTTTCTTGTGCTAATCTCAGTGCTGGCAAGCATTCTGTCACTGAGCTGCCTTCCTGCTCCCCTGTATGTTTAAATACGATTCTAGTCCTGGCACTGGTGGCTCATGCCTGTAATCTAGTTACCCAGTAGTCTGTGATCAGAGGATCATGGTTCAAAGCCAGCCCAACTAGGAAAATCTGTGAGATTCTTATCTCCAGTGAACCAGCAAAATCTGGAAGTGGAACCATGGCTCAAGTGATAGCTTGAGCAGAAAAAGAAAAACTTAAGGGATAGTGGCCACACCCTGAGTTCAAGCCCCAGTACAAGTACACATATGTACACACACGTGTATACACACACACACACACACACCATTCTAGGCAACACGCTTCAGCCATGTATATTGTGAGCCAGGTACAACGTGCTTACTCTTATAACTGGCTTCACAAAGTTGATACCTTTATTGTTCTCATATCACGAAGGGACTGAGGACATGTCATTTTGTGGGGCCTCTGCCAGGCTGCCTCCATCAGCACCCAAGACAAGATGGACATTCTCCATGGCCAGGCTGGCCCTGAGGGGGCGTCCCTTCCCTTTTTCATGTCGGTTGCTCAGCAGCAGAAGGTTCAGCCCACCTTTGCTGACCAGGGCAGGCTGGACAGGACTGAGCCTGGTCATACTTGGGCTACCACACAGCGGCATGCTCCTTGTTTGACATGACCCCTCATCCCATGCTGCCACACCGGCGTGGGCCTCCGGGGGGTTCCATGCCTCTCCCAGTCCCCGGCATACTGAGAGGCCCACGAGGGGAGGCTCAGGACTTCAGTTTCCAAACATGTTTATTCATTTTGTACCTTTCTGGAACCACCCTTGGGAAAGTGTGACAGAGAGATAGTCAGGGACAAGAGAAGTCCACCACATAAAAAGCACTCCTCCAGCCAGGCACCAGTGACACACGCCTGTAATCCTAGCTACACAGGGGGAGGAGATCTGAAGATCACTTTTTAGCCAGCCCAGGCAGAAAAGTCCATGAGACTCTTATCTCCACTTAACCAGCAAAGCCAGAAGCGCAAGTGTGGCTCAAGTGGTAGAATGCCAGCCTTGAGTGAAAAAGCCCAATGAGAGCATCTTGGTCCTAAGTTCAAGCCCCAAACCACACACTCCTCTATGCCTCACATGCCTGGGCCCTGGGCCCTGGGCCCAGCCCTGTACTGGAAGAATGTGTCTTTCTGAATGAGCCACCAAAAACATAGAAATGCAAAATGAGTCTGTCTGAGTCCCTCTTCCTTATTGAAGGTGAGTAGAAAGTGGCTGAACCCCTGGGGTAGCTCCATTCACACTCACACCAGGAGCCCTTTGCATCTGGAGGACTTGTCCCTGTTAACCCGCAGTGATGTTCTTCCCCTAGGGGAGAAGTATGAACTGCACGCAGCCACCGACACCACTCCCAGCGTCGTGGTCCACGTGTGTGAGAGCGATCAAGAGAATGAGGAAGAGGAAGAGATGGAAAGAATGAAGAGACCCAAGCCAAAAATTATCCAGACGAGAAGGCCAGAGTACACACCTATCCACTTAAGCTGAACTGGCACACGGATGAAGAGCGTGCATTGAATTACACTCACCAGAGGAATCTTTTACTGTGCAAATGGCCGGTCACAACTTTGGAGGTGGCAGCTGTGACCGCTGGGGGAGAGAATCAAGGCTTTGTCTCCTTGTTCTGATGCTGCACCTCAGCCCAGGTGTCTGTGGCACCCGGAATGTCTTGGGCCATTCACTGAGTTTGTGGTGATCGCACAGGGACATTGGGAGTGTCTTGAGAAAACTGATACTGATAGTGTTTTGTACTCATTCTTTTCTGGTAGGTTCTGTGTTTGCCAAGGCCAGGTTGGTCAGCAGGACTAGAGGGAGTTTTCTGTTTCTAACCAGGGTCCAGACCCAGCTGGTAGGCAGAGACCCCACTCCAGCATCACCAATGTCCATTGCTACAAGGTTGTGAAAGCAACCAGTCTATGTGGAAATTTGTAGCCTTTCATTTCTTCCTTCCTGTTCTCCTATCTGTGCATGTATACTATTGATTTTCAAGGCCACCCTCCGTTCCTGTATGAAATTACATTGTTGTTTTACATCCCTAGGGAGGCCAGGTGTGGGGAAACTATCCTGTCCCAGGCCCCTCCCTGCCCCCACCCTCTCTGTGTCACAGGTCTCATTTGTGGAATTCTGCCTGGAATGCATTCACCTGGCATCTGTCTGGTATATGTAACTTGTGATTGGGGGGGGCAGGGGAGGGAGAAAGTTGGCCTGAAATTCCTGTGTAGTTTAGCTTGGATAATTCAGAGAATGGCGGTTTCACTGCCAACTTTCAGTGGGTGAGAAAAGTTAGTTTTGGTGTTTGGGGTCAGACATTGGTTTCCATTGTTTTGTTTTGTTTTATGTAGTGGTTTGTGTCCGTGAATCATAGCCAGACGTCTGGGGATCTTGTTGGTTGAGGTAGTCGGTTTTTCACCCCCACTGAAACCTCAAGATAAACTTGTAAATAAAGCTGGTAGTGTTTATCCATACGTGTTACACACTTGGATTGGAACAGTAGGGCAGTGGAGGAGTTGTATGATGTATTAACTTACTTGTGAATTGTCTGTGGTAGCAAACGCCGTACCATGTTTAACAGGATTGAACTCAAAGCATGTAAAGTGAGTCGTAGATGTGTGTTGATACAAGAAGGATGCAGTGCCTTCCCCCCACCCACGAATTCCTGAGGGAATGTCACACTAGCTGCACATTTGTAATGTTTTTCTAGTTGTATTGTGTATGTCTAGTAAATAGGTATTATATTTTGGCCTTACAATACCGTAACAAAGTTTGTCATTTTGAAATACCTAATGCCAAGTTAACAATGCATGCTTTGGAAAATCGGAAGATGGTTTTTTTCTTTCGTAAAGCAGATCTGTGTGCATTGAAGTCTTTGACTGTTTCTAACAAGAAATCGATTGAATGTTCTCACACCTCTGTTTACAGTACTTGGTAGGGGAGGCCTTGGTCAGGGAGAGGCCACTATAGCTGTTCAAGTGTTTCTAGTTAAGTGCTTTTAAACTGGAGAGGCTAGCCTCAAAATATTTTTTTTAACTGCATTCTATAATAAATCAGCACAATATGCTCTTTATGGAAAAAGTTGTCTATTCCTCATTTTATTTCTAGGCCTAAGCTGTGAACCCTTTGAATTCTGCAGTCTCTGAGGAACATTCCTTTGCCAGTTTCAACATAGAAACTTCTGATTCTGCACAATAGCTCAGTGTCTGCCACATGCACACACAGCACACCGTAAAAGAGTAAAATCAATAACCGGAAACTGAGTATTTCCATTGCCCAAGTGGATGACATAATGATGAAGATTCTGTAGACCTACACCTCCATTAAACAGTTATTTAGATTATTTGTCTTTAGTGCTTGGGATGGAATCTCGGGTCTCACACGTTAAGTGAGTGCTCTACCACTGCTCTGTGCATTTACCCCCCTAGTAAGGATAGGGATTGAGCCTTGTTTGTTTTTAAAGATGTTCTTTAAAGATGCTGCGTTGTAAAGGCTAAGTGTGTTCAGAAGATCTGTAAGACTTCTGCTTGAAACTCAGGCTGCCTTCTTCCTGGAACTTCAAGTACTGCTAAGTGTAAGCTGCCTGGCCAGCCCACAAACACCTCAGTGATAGAATAATCTTTGTTGAAATCTGAAAAACTAATCATTTGGGTAGTACTGGGATTAAATTTACGATTCTCTTACTTGCTGGGCAGGTTCTCTGCCACTTGAGCAATGCCCATAATCCTTTGACTCTTAGTTCCTTTCTCAGTCTAATGTTTTTGCCCTGCCTGGCCTCAGTCCATGGTCTTTGTGCCATCACCTCCGGAGGAGCAGGGATTAGAAGAATGTACCACCACTCTCCAACAAGGGATCTTGATCAGGATTTACCTTACGTGTTTCAGCATGAAAATTCACATGCTACTTTTTTTTCCCTTTTATGAAATGTACCATTCTGTCATTCTCAACCAGCATTTATTTGCATATTTTACAATTATATACATTCAATATTTGAACATGTTGAAAGATCCACATTTTCATCCAGTTGCTCAGATCATTATTGAGCAGATTTGCTAACTAACCACCTGGAGAGAGAAGGAAGGTATATCCAAATGGAAATACAGCCTAAGAGCCCTTCTGGCAAGCAAAGGATAGACTAAGCATTGTGCTGGACCCAGATCCTAATTCACAAAGAATCCTAGAAGGAAATCGAGATGTGTTGCAAGTTAATTCAGACTTCCAGAAGATCCTCTTACCTAATTGGAAAAAAGTTGACAGCAAAACAGAGTCTAGAGTGTAAAATCAGACATCACCAAAGGTCCTCAGTGCAGACCATCTCTGTAATGGGATCATGTGGCAATTTCAGAATGTGGAAATTTCAGAATCATTTATATACTAGGTCACTAGTTCCCAGGCTGCTAGATCTGAAGGACCCCAAATGAGAGCACACCCAAGGGTCAAATGTCTTTGAACAGGGCTCAGTGAAATGCGAAGTGACAGGCACAAAGCAGGCATAAACATGCAGCACATTCTCTTTTTCATTTATGGAGTATATTTCTTAAGTAGGTTTGTGTGTTAGTCAGTCTACAACACTGTAAGAAATAATCTCAGAAGCAGTTTCAAGGAGGAAGAATTGATTTTGGCCAATGATTTCAGAGGTTTCAGTCCATACTAGTCTGGCTCCATTGTTTCCTGGGCCAGGGGTGAAGCAGAGCATCATGGGAGAGCAAAGATGATTGCCTCACAGCAGCCAGGAAGAGGGAAGAAAGAGACACAGAGAGAGAGAGACAGAGAGGGAGCACTAGATAAAATTTTTGCAGTAATGCTTTGAGTGACCTATTTCCTCCTGCCAGTTTCCATCTCTTTCTAAAATTTCCAGAATCTTCTGAAATAGCAACACCAGCTAGAAACCATGAGACATTACATACTCAAACCATACCAGTCTGATAGAATACATGACTGACCTAACAGTAAATAAATGCTATCCAAGGAGAGGAAACGCAGCAAAATTTCAGAGAAGGGTGGTGATGAAAGGAACCTAGCAACTCATGTAGCTGTTAATGCTCGCATTATGCGCACTGGTCTGCACTTGATGAGCATTTAGGATTTTACATTTCCAGAATGTTGTGTGGATCACTGCCCACAGGAGATTTGGGCTTTCAAAGAGCTTTTACTTTTAGGTAAAAAGTACAGAACTCACTACAAACTAAATATTAAACTACGGAAGATTAAATGTACCACATGGGCATGTTATGACCAGAAATGAACGGGCAGCTGGAGTATTTCATACTAAATAGTGTTTGCAGAACTTTCTGGAATGTTTGCCACAATAAAGTAAGTACATACCCAGTCCCATTCATCTAAAGGTCACCGACTCAGATGGAAACTGCATAAATAATTTACCCTAAAATTACTTAGGAAGGCTCTTATGATAACAAATATGCTTTCTTTTCCCAGTCTCTGTCTCTAAGTGGGGCACGGAGAGAATTCGTTTTCCAAGTATGCATCGTCTGCTGGCAGGCAGTCTTTCACATCTGAAGCTCTCACAGTGTGACTCATTGCTAAGTTACATGGATAGATAGATTTGATTCTCCCAGCCCTCGTTTCCTTCCTGGTTCTTCGTGAAAGGTCATTTTAATCATGGCTATGTTTGTGAAAGACAAGTGATTGAGATGCGGTGCCCACACTCGGCCTTTTCTCTTTCCTGTCAGGATTCTGATTGAGGTTTTATTCACAGAAAGGGAGGCCAAGCAGAAGCGGAACCACTGCTCATAGCTCTTCACTGTGGCCCCAGAGCCCCTGGCCTGCATCCATACTCCTTTCTCACTATGCTTTCTTCCTACCTTCCTCTGTCTAAAAATATTACTCCACCACCCCAGCTCAGCCCTGCTCACTTCCCCCCTTCCTCCCCCAAAGAGTAGGCCCATGTCCACTCTGCTCATCTCTCTCTGGATCACAAACAGTGATCCCTCTGTCAAGCTCCCAACGTTCAATATATATTACTGAAATAATTAACTATCTGCCCTGCATTGTCCAGCATTAATGAGCACCATTGCTAGCTACTGCTGCTGATGCCCACCCATGCCCTCATCTGATGGGGCAGATTTAAAATTTGATTTGGATCATATTTTCTTCCTTAAAGTTTCATGTAGGATCATTTTCCTAAATATCCAGAACTAATACTTTGCTTCCTCAAAGATAATATTTACATAGATGTAAAATACTAAAAGAAGCCGGGGTGGTGGTTTGTGAACCTTTTGCAAAAGGGAGGTACACCCCAGGCAGATACCCCAAGAGACCCCCGTGGCGGAGGCTGGTCATGCCACAGGCCTATGGGTGGGGCACGGGGGCAAGGATGGAAGCCAGGAATTACCAAAAATACAACGTACGCCTGAGAATTTAGTCTTCCTCCCCCAGGAAACAGGTATTTGAATCTTGGCTGGGACACCACTGGATGCTCTATGGGTAATAGTTCTCCGCAAGGCAGAAGTGACGGTGTCTTACAGATCCCCTAAAGGCCCAGCCGTGGGGAACACCCCACCCTGTGGCCAGTGCTTGAAGAGTCCTGGGATGCTGAGCGGATGCGCTGAGAATGGAGTCACAGGAGGCCCAACAGACACATCCACGTCGGTAGGCTGTCCTCTGCTGCCAGGGATCCTCCACTCAGGAACGTGGCAAAGGTACCTCGGGGGCCGTGCTCCGAGTTCAGCTGAGGTAAGTTGAGCCCTACTGGTAGCTTCTTCCAAATGCAAAAGCGAGAAGACAAATCCCAGAGACACACAAGGAAGGATCAGAAGGAGAGGCAAGGTGCTAGGCATGCACAGCCTGGGGACGGGGTGAGGGGGCAGCGGTCAGGGTCTCCAATCTAAAAAGTTTCTTCATAATCACTAGAACATTCCCTGACTCCAGAGGAGTCCTGCCTGACATCCCCTAGCTTAGAGCCAGGAGACGAGCAGGCATGCTGTCAGTTAAGAGTTCAGAGTGGTGGTGGGCTGAATGCTCAGACGGGCCTCAAGGTTGCCACCCCACCCATGCCCAGGGTAAACAGGCCCGGTATAACTCTGCTTGTAGGCAGGACATCTGGTAATGGTGGCACAGCACACTTGCATTCGGTCTTACTGATGGAGTGAAAGTCTGGAGCCAGTTGGCATTGAGCTCATCAGAAAGCTTATTCTGAGTGAGTCTGGCTTAATCAGCTACAGGCCTACAGACAGGAAGCAGCAACTCCCCCTGCTGGCCAGAAAGAACCAAGCAGCCACACAGGTAGTGGAGACGGTGCTTTTCCAGTCCTTGGTGGGGTTAGATGGGTCTTTCCCTGCAAGGAACAGTCCAGCAGCAACCAAGAAAAGCAACACCTCAGGGAGACCACCACAAGACACCCAGGCTCTCCTCGAATGACTCCTTTACTTTGTGTTTATTTAAGCACTGAGATTCTGCCTTTTGTTGTTGCTGCTGCTGCTGTTTTCCAATATTAAGGTTTTGAATTCAGGGTATCATACTTGCCTGGATTACTTGCTCAGCTAGTGCTCTACCACTTGAGCTACCCCTCCAGTCTAGCTTTTTTCAGGTTCTTTTGGAGATTGAATCTTGTGGACTTTTCTGCCCAGGCTAGCTTCAAACTATGATGCTCCAGATCTCAGCCTTCTGAACAGGCAAGCCTATGGTGCCCAGTTTATCTTCTTTTATAATGAACGTATTTGTCAGTGTATTCTAGTAAGACCTTTCCTAAGCAATTCCAAAAAAGAAAAAAATAGAAACTCAATTTTTTGAAAAGTCAAAATACCCCTGATACAAATATAAACTCACGATAGTTTTAAAACCCAGGATTCTCATTATCTGAATGAGAGTTAACACATAAATAATCACACATATAAGCTATTACAATGTTATAATATTCCATTTAATAGTCAGAGTATCCATTGAGCATCCCAAAGTGCCAGGCACTATTTGCAGAGCTCAAGATAAAATGATGTAAAGAACCAACACCAAGCAGGGTGCCGGTGGCTCATGCCTCTAATCCTAGCTATCCAGGAGGCTGAGATCGGATTGCTGTGGTTCAAAATCAGCCTAAGGAGGAAAGTTCCTGAGACTCTTATCTCCAA